CAAACGCTAATGCAACGATTCTTGCGGGATTGTCAAATTGCCAACGAGGTTTCAGATACCAGGGACCCCGTTGAACCGAAAAAGGACAAGGTTCAAACCAAGAAGGACAAAGTTGAAGTGAAGAAGGTGAGTTATATGTTGTTCTTGTGTATTTCTTTATGAGTGTATTTCTTTATGATACTCAAAGCTTGGATCAGAGGAGCTGACAATTGGAACGAATAATATCTTATTTAACATGTCACAGGCAAAATCAAAGAAAGTTAAGACCTCCACGAAATCTCCTACAGAACAAGAAGTGGAAGATAAAAGCGAAGTTGAAGATGAAAGTAAGGTTAGTGTATGATCTTCTTTATCTTGTATTATCAGTAAATTTCTCTTATTCTGAAAGCATTTACCTTTTATAGGGAAAAGGACGAGAGGACACACCGGAAAACATTATAGAACCTCAAGATCCCAAAACCGTCACCGGCAAAGAAGATCATGCCGTAGAAGCGATTCAGGAAGAAGAAACTGAAGTTTCTACCTCCAAGAAAGTTCATAACGATGAAGAACAACAACCAGATGTTCCAGACTCACCTCTCACGTCTCAAGGGGATCCTCCATCACCTGTCACTACTCGGAAACGTCAGGTGGCTCGTGTAGAGAAAGCCAACCACGCAGCTAAGAAAAGTGAGTCAGCACATGGACCAAAAACTCGTAAATCTGTCCGAGTTAATTCGGTTAGTTTGGATAAAGTAAGTGAGTCAACTATTTCCAAGTATTTAATCATGTTGCTGAGACGTCCTTTGGGGAGACAGGATCAGCCAGCAAACAAGAGAGTAAAGCGGTCGGAACCGGTAAGTGGTTTGACTGATGTGGATTTCTCTTTTAAGTTGGATGGGATCGAGCTAACATACCAATCAGTTCTCCTTACAAAACATAACCTCTGCAGCAAAAGAACATAGCGAAAAACAAAAAAAAACCAAAGAAGAACGACTCGTGAATGCCACACCAGAAGAACGTGTCTTGATTGTAAGTGTCTCACTATCTCATCATAATAATCAGCATTATTCTGACTTACTGATCCGAACAGAAATGGAGTTTTGTCAAAACTCTTCCTGTGATACTTAGGCCGTTTGTGAAGTCGGCAACCAATGTCAAAGGTAATGGTCTGTGTGCTTTTGCTTCAGTCGCGGTTTCACTGGGACGGCCGGAATCAGATGCGGTGAAGGTGCGAGCAGTGATGGCTACCGAGGTACGCAAGAACTACGAGTGGTACGAAGACGCCTTACCTAAACTCAGTGAGGGTGGTACCGACATCAGCCATATGTTAGAGATTCTTGAATCCCCCCTTAATTACGCACCACGGCGGTTGTGGTATCCAATGCCAGGTGCCTGTTGTATCATAGCAAACACTTTTAAAAAAACGGTCATCTCATACTCTGCGAATACGGTTTCTTCTTGCACGATACCTCCTTTTCTATCAGCCCCACATGGGAATACCCGACCTATCATTCTTGGTGTCATCCAAGGTACTCATTGCATCTCGCTGGAGCTTGAGTTTTCTGCCAACCTACCCATTCCTCACATCCATCCAGACTGGCGAAATTTGAGATCTCCTAAAGCCAAGGACTGGGGGACTTTTTTTTGTGAAAACATCAAGGTTTGGAGAGAATGGAGAAAGGAAAGCAATTCAATCACTGGTCCAAACTGTGAAAAGAAAGTGATTTCAGATGATGATGATATATCTTCAAAAGAAAAATGAAAAATGATGGAAATGATTAGTTTTAACTTACTTGTTCAATTCAATAATATGTTTTTTAATCTTAGCTTCAAAAGATATATATATTGGTTGGGACTAGATGTTATTTGCAAATCTTGTTCTTAATCTGTGAAACTCGTAATTTGAGTGTAGTGTTCTATATATATACCTTGTGAGATAACAAGGATCAGATTGACCTTGTTGTGATTGCCTTGACATATGGGTGGAAAGGACAAGTTGAATTTACATGTGGTGGCATGGACTTGATTCACATTCCCGTGATCAGGATTCACACCTATGTGAATTTCTTTCACATATATGTGAACGACATTCACATAGGTGTGATTATCTACGTGTGGCATTGACTAAATTCACCTATGTGTGGATGGAGTGAATTCCATTTGTGAATTCTATTCACATATATGTGAATATTCACATATGTGTGATAGAATTCACATGGGTGTGAATGGAATTCACATATGTGTGAATAGAATTCACATATGTGTGAATAGAATTCACATATGTGTGATAGAATTCACATGGGTGTGAATGGAATTCACATATGTGTGAATAGAATTCACATGTGTGTGAATAGAATTTACATGTGTGTGAATAGAATTCACATGGGTGTGAATGGAATTCACATATGTGTGAATAGAATTCACATGTGTGTGAATAGAATTTACATGTGTGTGAATGTAGTTCACATATGTGTGATGTGTTTGTATAGGTGTGTTTTTTCGGATTGTCACGTGACTCAATTAACATATGTGGGATTGGGATTCACATAGGTGTGACTTGTCATTTCATGTGGTGGCGGTGGCATTGACACAATTGACATTGGTGTGATTTGAATTTGGAATCACATGTATGTGATTGGGATTCACATATATGTGAATTGTGTGCTTTGGGTGTGTTTGGTATTTAGACGTGACAATTCACATTTGTGTGAGGGGTGCTGGTATTTGCATGTAACTCAATTCACATATATGTGATTGAGATTCACATGTGTGTGATTGGTGTGATTTGTGTCTGTATGTGACTCAATTCACATATATGTGATTCAGATCCACATATATGTGAATTTGTATCTGTATATATATATGTGATTCAGACTCAGATATACAGATTCACATATATGTGAATCTGAATCACATATATGTGAATTGCGTGCTTTGTATCTGTATGTGACACAATTCACATATATGTGAATTGTGTGCTTTGTATCTGTATGTGACTCATTTCACATAAATGGTATTGAGTTTCAGTGTGAATTTTATTGGTGACTCAGTCTTTACAGGTGGGAATCACATCCATGTGATTAGTATTCACATGGATGTGAATGCCATTCACATGGATGTGAATACCATTCACATCATTGTGAAACTGATTCTTAGCCGCAACCGTGAGTGGTTGTTGACCTTGACCAAAGGCCAGTTACGGGCTTAGATGGTCGAATAGGTGCTCTTAGCTGATGTACTGATGCGGAAAGTACTTGTAGATGTCTTTGAGTCCGACGCGTCGGGGGCGGCGGCGCGTCGGTAGGGGAGGTTCCAGACAATGTCCGCTAGGAATTGCACGTTTTCCTTCGGATAGTATCCGAAGCGTCTAGTAGACACAGGTGAAATATACCGTGGTTTGTTGAAGCATTTGAATGCCAGAAAAGTCTCAAGCCGCAACAATTCGCCCCATTCCGCATCCCCACACGTTATCGTGTTGAATTACTACTTGTCTGAAGTTCGTTGAGCGGCAGTTACACATTTTCCTTTGTTGTGGCCTGGAAACAATACTGGATTACTGGAATGGGGCTCGTACCGAAGCAAGTCTGCTCGATGCAGGTTTTGCACAACTCAGAGAGCTATTGTTTGGATGGGTACGGGGTCGTGGAATGGACTACTCTGTCCTGGTTTAAACACAATGTTGCCAAGTCGTTGTTGGCGAAGTTGGTTGCAGAGTTCGTGACAGGTTAGTGAGTGGTAATAGGTGGTACTCCAATCATTGAAAAAATATGTACTGACTCGAAGGTCACAGAGTCCGAAGGACATCCGCGCCCGCGGTATCAATCCGGCCGTATTGTTTTGAATGGCACGGGTACCACATACAACTATACCATTTTAATACCTTACCACAACAGGCCAGAGGTTATGCTTTTGGGGGACTCTTAGGTAAGGTCCGTGTCATCTAGCTTATCTCACCCATATCACAAACGCAAGAGAATGACAATTGTGATCCCTGTGTCGTTCAATGGGATCAAGACACCTTGCCCAATGATGTTACTTATCACGGTCATGGGCACATGGAGCAAAGTACAATAAATCTTTTGTTCCGGTGCTGTTGTTAACCTTCAATGTAGCTTGCCAACTAAGAATCCATACAGTCTACGGTGACCTGAACAATACTCTGAAACATAGAGATGTTAGGAATGAGCCAACACTTGGTGTATATGTCTGTATATTCAAATTGTTCTAACATTAGTCTGAATCGTGAAACCCGTGAATCACCGTGTTGACCATCTTGAATGAGCCGTTGTCGATACCAGTGCCTTGAAAGATTGTTTCTTTGCGCAGGGACCGTAATATTAAGCGCACAAGAACCCAATCAAGCCGTGTAGCAGCGCTTGAGATACTGTTAGGGTGCGCGAACACAGTGAGGCCAAAGGCCAGTCTGTTTGATCACTAATCAAGGCGCCACACAGCGCTGTGACATGGAAAAATGATTTTCTTGAGAAGGCAAAAGTCTCATTCGAGCAAAGTGAGGGTCGCGCCATAAGACTACACATGCAAAGGGACCAGACAGGTCAGTACTGACACATTTTGGCTCACTGAATCGGTGGAATCAAAGACTTTTACAGGCGAGCAGGGGATTTAGACCTGACAAACAGTTCTCAACACTCAATAATGTGACAGACGGTGGCTCAGCAGTGATCAGGAAAATAGTCAGTACCGTGGGTACTATTTCAATGGTCTGGCTCTGCACGCCGCGAATGACACAATAAATCGATATAAATTGAATGAATATTATTAAGATAGTAAGAAGAACAGAAAGGTACGCTATGTATAGTTGGACCCCGAGCGGGTAGCATGGTAGAGTTATTAAAATCTTGATCAATAGATTCTGGGCGGCTACACTTGTAAACGGGCAAAAAGAAGGGGTTGGCATGTATCCATGTCATGTGCGGCGAGACAACAGGCGTGTAATCAATGGGATAACGGGATACAAGGATTAGGGACGTTCGAGTGGGTAGAGCCTGGGTAATGACCTATATTTCTTCAGATTCAGGCGCAATCACTTTGGTGGCGTTTCTTTTGGGTTGAGCTCGTGCTCTCTTTTTGGGTGGTTGTTTTGGTTGTTCGCCGCTCGAAGCAATGGACGCAGGGGTCTGATCCGATCCTGGGAATGGGATGCTGGAGCTGGAAGCGGAAGCCGTGGCCGGAGACTTGAAAGGCGTGTTGACAGGGCGCGAACTGAACCTTAAGGCACAGGTCTTTGGTCAGAGATGCTGGCGAAGAAAGATGCAAAGATGAATGACAAAGCTTAATTAGTGGCCTTGGGTCGGTCACCAGAGACTTGACTACCGACCTTAACTGCTTTTTTGCGCCCCGCAGACTCAAGGTGGCCAGAGGTAGGTGCTACTTTGTTCACCTGTTGAAAGGTCGAGTCAGATGTGACGGAAGAGGAAGCAGTTGGAGACTTACGATCACAATGTAACGGTTTGTCTCCTCGTTGAAATCTTTAACATAGCCGTGGAATTGGCATTCACGGCCCTTTTTTACAATTTGAGGGGATCCTGCAAGATGCTTGAAAGGAGGAACACGGTATTCGACCGTCATAGATGTTGCTTCTTTTGTCTATATTAGAACAGTCAGCTCATGATATGTAGAAGCGCTGAAGGATGGAATCTACTGACCTCCGGGTGGTAGTCACAATGCTGGACAACAGCATACAAAGTAATTTTATCGGGCTCACTTGCATGACGCTTAAGGTATTGCATATGGTCTTCAACATAAAACTCGACATCAAGCACTCGACCAATACCCGTGATGCCAAGCTTATTGGCTAAGCTTTCGGAATAAGACTCTGCCGTACCAATCACTGCTCGATCAAAGCCTTCAAAAAACAACTCATCGTTGTAGGTGTCACAAGTATTGGTAGGGAAAAAGGACCCCCGCAAGAAGTACAGGTGACCCGGATGTAGCATAAAATCTTGATTGCTGAACCCCGTGGCCCTAATTTCGTAGTCCACAGTGTCATCGGGTTCGTCTCCACTGCACACAATGTTAGTTGCAAAACTGCGGAACTCGACTTTGAACTTTTGTTCTTCGGTCAGCTGCAACAGAGAGCATGAAGGGTCAGTGGGGTAATTACTGGTGCTGGGTGATCAGGACGTTTGAGACGCACGGTTTCATCAATACGGAAAATGCCAGAAAAGTAGATCCCATGACCAGTACACGGGTTGGGTTCAGACATCGCTGGTTCGAGTAACAATATGGATGTGTGATAGGGTGACTGCGACGGACTGTGAAAGATTAAAATTGCGAAGAGGTTGACAAAAAGGTTTCAAAACGTGAGGCATAGGAGGGGCAAGAGACATCAATGAGCGGATGAAAGAAATAATCATACCTGATACTGCTAGAGCAATGCAAGAGACAAATGCGAATGAACTGTGAGTGATGGTGCAGGGACTTACGCACAGAATGAGTGTTGCTTTATACTTGAGCCGTTTGGTGATTTCACGCGCCACGAGGTATCCAGCTGAACAAGCTCACAACATATTGAGCGTGGTCGTGGTTGATTTGCTAGACCGTTGATTTCACACTGGTGTATCTCAATGCCAAGACGCCTCTCCCTGAACCAATCGGAAAGAAAGAGCGCACCCATTAAGCAAAGGCACGATCCACAAACGGACAGAATCAGGATTAGCAGAGGGCTGACACAGTCACTGAGGCAAACAGCACTCAGAATGGTCTTACCCGGACAATTGAGTCAATGACAAAGCTGAAAGACCATCGATGTGCACATGTTGGAGCTTTGAAGTTGTCAAATCGCCGCCACTATGTTGTGAATGTTTTGATTCGCGAGCTGCATTACAAAGAACGACAAACATTTGAAATGGCTTGTCTTCCCGAGGATCAGCTCGATTCGGTTTCCGTGATTGGGAGACTCATGGGTGATGAGTGAAAGCCAGGAACACCAATGCAATTGCCTGCGCGCGGAGGCCAAAAGTAACCGCAGACAAAGGCCTATGAAAGAGGCAATGAGCGCTGAAAAAGCGGATACTTTAATCCTGAGCATTGGACATGCGAACTCATGTGAATCGGTGGAGACAACCGGAAGTAGGCGTGAAAATGAGGGTGTCGACAAAAGTGGCGCAAACTAATCTGTTCCTGTGTCAGCAAAAGCTGTCGAAGTTGTGAGAGGTGACCTATGTAGAACGGGTGCGTACTGGGTCAGGATGCCGGTGAAGAGGTTGGTACGGTTGGGAACGACGTAAGATGATTCGAGTAGGCGTTGATTCCTGTATGATGCTGGGATGATAGGGAAGTACCTCGTCTTGCATCAGAGAAGGAGACAATCGCCTCGTTGCAAGATGAGGGTCGAGGCTGAATGTGGAATGTTGTACGTAGTGTGATAGCTGACATGTTGAAATACGCGGAATATGATGGATTTGGGTGCGTAAATGGGGGATCAACCGGATTGGGTAGTTGATTAGGGGTGAGTCGCGTGGGATCAAGATTGTATTGTGAAGACGTGTAAACCTCGAATTCTGGAGTAGGAATTGGTAGTTTTGGGGAGTTTTGCCGTCGAACACGGTTTCCCTTTAACTTGAATGATCAATCAAAGTTGAGAAAACTCAGGTATAACAAACCAGTTATGAAAAGGGAATGTGGAGGGGCTACCCAATGGATATGATGAGCAAGAAAATATTGATGAAAATGAAATGAAGGCATAGTGAGATCACCGGAGGCGCACATGAATGGAGGTACATCAGCGCAAATGGCATTTGCCTATTTGGGTGAAAAAGGAGGACTAATACATACATGGAAGTGGTTGCAAATGGCCGTAGACAATCAGGGTTAGGGTGATGTGGAATCTTACATAAATAGATGACTGAAAGAAATAGTGTTTGATGCATAAGTAATGAATTGATTGAATGAGAAACGGACATAGCAAGAACATATAACAAAAGAGGAAATATGAGTATAGCAGTTCAATGTGAAAGATAGTTTTTGATAATCATGTACTTTGAAGATTGGTGTATGCTTATAAGACTAAGTGTTACGATAAGTAATGTGCTAGTCCATACGTTTGAGGCTTCAAAGCATTAGGATGACTTGGCTGTAATGAGAAAGTGAGGCAGAGCTGAGGAGGCCGGAAAGAGAAATGGGATGCTTGAATTATAAGGCTGAAGCGGGAAGCAAATGGTAATGCTAGGAGGGGGGAATGAATAATTTTACCAAAATGAGAGGTTGATGCCGAATACTTACTTTTATAGATTTAACCGTCAGTATAGATTGATTTTGGTGCACACTGAAAACATGAAAGAAAGCTCTTTATGCGGAAGCCAAAATAAGAAAATACGGAAGGTAAAGACATTGAAGGAGGGAAGCGGTTAACTGAAGGATAACCAAATGCAGAGGAGAAGGCTTCATGTCGAGACATAGACTCAAGAGGGGGAAAAATTGAATATAAAATGTGGTTCATGGATGGTAGGAAAGCGAATCCCCACGCCCCTCAACAGCTGACCAGGAAGTCGTCTTTACGACCAGTGGTAGCTGAAATAGTAGGGGTGGCATGGTTGGTGTAGGTTTGTAAGCTCCGGCTTTCAAACGGAAACTCAGCTCTTATGGCTAACCCTAAGGGGAGGCATAATTGCTGAGTTTTTGTTTGAAGGTGGGGGGTTTACGAATTTACATTTATTTAACTAGAGCTTAGGCGGGCGAGCCCGCCTCTAAATTCAATAAGTAAAGTGTTCATATTTATCCAAATGGCTGGAGGCTTGAGTCAGGATCAGGAAAACAAATACATGAAATATGATAAGTGTTTGGGCTAAATCATTATGCTCCATGCTCAACTAATCACATCATTTTGACGATACTCATTTCACACAAGGATCAATTGATGTAAAACACAGACACAGATGAGTTACAACTTTAATAAAAAGGAAACCCAATGAATGATGAGAAAATTAAATGATTGTTCATTTCAATCACTTATTGAAGGTATTCAAATACATTTTTGGAACTTAAAGTGAAGGGAAAAAAATCACATAACCCATACTGTTTCCTGAAAAGGATTGAACCAGACACAAACAATTAGTATACCACACTTCTGTTAAGGAAAAGTTTAAAGACAAATAAGATTCTTTTGTAAGATTAAAATTCAACTGAGCGTTGAGTCTGAATACATTATCTAAAGCTGAACCCTATGAATCAAGTTCTGAAAGACATTCTCTAAATAATTCAATTTGACATTCATAATAGTTAGATTGCAATTACAATTGATTACTTATTATTTTCCTTCATTATCATCAAACAAAGAACCCAATCCTAATAAATGCAATTTGGAAGGCAAACAAAAGATAAACTTTGCTTTTTATCCTTTTATTTTCACAAGCAAGAGAGAAAGGATGAAAACCCAGGAAAATTGCTTCATTACATAATTCAATATCCATCAAAAGCTTCAAGGATGGCCCCCTTAAATTATTTCCAAGATAAATCACTTTCTTCTCTTCATCATTAGAATGATGATAAATGAGATCATCTTGAATATCATTCAATTCCTCAGTAGAATTATTGTGTTTAGGTGCAAGAGTATAACCTGATGCAAGATGAGGTCTTTGACATCTATCATGATAAGTTGAGGCTCCTTTTGCTAATTCTATATTGATTAAAAGTGGTGAACCTGATGATTTTATACTTAGGTTTGAGAATAATGAAAGCAAGAAGAGGCGGGATAGAATTGATGAATTCAAAGCAGAACTTGGTACAACTGAATGAGATGTGACCATGTGTAGTTTACCTATCAAACAAATTTGGAAAGGTTTTTGTTTAGCAATTTGATTGATTTGGAAGAGAACTCAAGATTTGTGACGAATTACTTACCCATTCCGCAAGTTATAAACTTCCCTTCACCAAGCTCTTGATCGTTTGCAACAGCTGAGACACATTCTAAAATTTCTTCTGAAACACTTGGAGCTGATCTATCTAAATTACCTTGAATTACGCATAATGAAGAGAGAGGTGGACAAAAGTATTTTGGCAACTTTTTATGCGATTTCTTTTAATCTACTCATATCTTGAACTTCTAATGAGAATGGTAGTAAGACCGAGGTCGCATCTCCCGAGTGAACTCCCGCATTTTCGACGTGTTCAAAGACCGCATGAACAAGTAGTTTGCCTTCATGCGCCACACCATCGACATCGATTTCCTGAGCGCCAGCAATGAATTTGGTCAAGACGAATGGATGTTCAGATGAGACTTCAGCTGCAGCAGTAAGTGAGTGTTCCAAGGTCGATCGATCCCAAACCACGTTCATGGCTGCACCCGATAAAACGTAGGTCGGATCAGGACTGGATAACCAACCTCATCGGCAAATTTCATAGCTGAATCAAGCGTCGTGACTTCTACTGACTTCTACCCATTCCTGTTGATCGATGCCAGCTTGATTAAGTGTCTTTGAAAACTTGTGTCAATCTTCAGCATTATCAATCATCTCTGGATAGGTACCAAGAACCTTCACCCCATTCTCTTTCAATCAAAGTGCAATGTTTTGAGGTAATTGTCCACCCACACTAACAATCACACCTTGAGCCAATTCAAGTTCATAGATATCCATCACTATTTCAAAAAAATACAATTGATCAGCTTCATCAAAATCCGTGGAAACCGTTTCTTGATTATATTTAATCATCACCGTCTTTTTACCCATTTCTCTGACTTTACGAACACATGTCACTGTACACCAATCAAATTCTACTGAACTACCAATCCTATAAACTCCAGTACCCAAGACCATCGTTCCATTTTCATCAAATTCTAAATCATGTTCGGTAGCGTGATAAGTCGTGTAAAGGTAATTTGTATGAGCAGGATGATGCTGCTAATGTATCGATTTGTTTCACAAAAGGTGTGATTCCGAGTGATTTACGCTTAGTTCCAACTTCACCTTCAAGTTCTGAAGTCAAAACTAACGTTGCAATTTGACAATCAGAGAATCCTAATTTCTTAGCAGATCTCATCAGATCAGCATCCAGCTGATCCAAGCTATCTAATTCCTTTGATTTTTGATGACATTGAACAATATTATCCAATAGAGCTTACCAAGAAGTTGGTAATGAGACAATAAATTCCTCATGCCTGTGCGGATGAAATTGGGGACGGGGCGAGGGCCAAGTTGAGCCTGAGTCGATAATTGAATTTGTTCTTCAGCACTACACACTTAAAGCTTCTTCACCTAGACTTTTCAAGGATTTAATTTAATGTGGATTAGTTCAGAAAGTTTGATATGAACAATTTGTTGATAGAATTGAATGTGAACATCCTCATAATCTTCAGTTTGAATTTGGTTCCATGACAAGTTAGTTTTGTTTAATATTCAATTCATACATTAGGCCCTTCATTTGATGGTGCCCATAATGTTGCTCCTAATGCGGATTGATTTTAATCAAACATAAATCAAAAGATTTCCTAAAATGAAACAAAAACAATCAGATGACTTCTATGATCTCGGTCTTCAAATTAAAGGTTTTCAATCGGAACTTAAAATATTAAACTGGAGTCCTAGGAGTACATCAAAGAGAGAAATTGAATTGATGTCAATGATTTGAATTTGATGTTCAATTATTTTCTTATTTGAAGCAAAGTTTTTTGAGGATGACACTGGTTGAGTGGATGAACTGGGCAAGACGTGGATAAAGATTTTGAAATAGATGAAGAAGTAGAAACATATTTTGGACCGATTGATTCTTCTGATTGATGATGACCAAGTCGAGTCTTGAAATGTTGATGTTTTTGATAATGATGAATTGATCTTGATGACAGTAAGTTGGTACTTCATGTGATAAAGATACGTTGATTGAATAACAAAATGAATCTAAATTGATTGAAGTGATGAAATTGCAGTTCATTTGATTGTAAAGTGAGTTTGCGGAGCTGAGGAATGCTGAGGTCAATGTGCAGGGTGGTATGTCTTAGGAGATCGAATGAAGAAATAGCAGAGCGAGGGTGTATTGAGCAGAATTGATGATGGACAGTCGAGTAGAAAGCTTTACTAAACGGAAAAGCAACATTAATTTCCAAGCTCAAGACATATGAGATGTCACATTGATCAATCCTACCTGTGTAGTGATATGACAGGTCTTAACTGATAGAGTCCTAATATAGGCGTACTGGGGATTACATATGTCATCGGGAATGTTGAGGAAAATGTGTGTCAAAGGAAGCCAAGAGGAGGGGAATTGATTAGTCCGGAGGGCAGTTGAAAAATAGGCCGAGATTGGTAATTAGAGTATGACACTGGTGCCGGTAATGGACATGATAGGGGATTGTGAATTTTGAGGCATTTGGGAGGTATGGAAGCACTACCAAAAACAGTCAAAAGAGAGGCCAAGATTGGTAAGCAGAGTACAAAAGCGGGTGGGAGAAAATTACACCGGGTGGTTTACACCCATATTTTTGGTGTAAACACGACTTGGTGTAAAATTATAAATAACCCCGGTGTATTTATAATTTTACACTGACTCACATTTTTTGTAGTCTGTGTAATGTATTGTGGTGTAAGTGAGACAGTGTAAAAGTCGTGGACCCGGCGGTAACACTACACAAAATATAATATTTTCTGGGCAGAAAATTAAATTATTGATACACAAAAATATTGTGAGGCCAGGAGAAGGGCAAAAAATAAATAAAAACATGCATCTTGTTCCCTGCGGTGAGAGCTTCACTCTCCATATTTTTCCATATTTTTACAGTCTGTATTGATTAGTGTACTAACAATAAACCTTCATAATCATCCAATTACAACCTGTAACAAGCACTGAAATTTGGCTCATTAGTGTTTAGAGAAACTTTTGATACCTGAAAACACCTATAACTTTGTCAAATCTGCATCAAAACACTCGATTTTAAGTGCATTAGAAAGCTGAACTCTTCCTCTCGAACTTTCATAAGATCAAGAACTATGTAGCTAGTATGCCAATCATTCTATGGATCTCTATGTACAAATGTATAAAAAAGATGATATCTTTTTTAGCAGACCAGCATGCTGTGTGGTCCTCTTATGAACTATGTGGAGGACAATTCCAGCTTACCAATGCACCCAAAATCGAGCGTTTTGGACCGGAATTGAAAAAGTTATGAGTATTTTCAGAAATCAAAAGTGTCTCTAAACACTAATGAGCCAAATTTCAGTGCTTGTTACAGGTTGTAATTGGATGATTGTGAAGGTTTATTGTTAGTACACTAATCAATACAGACTGTAAAAATACGGAAAAATATGGAGAGTGAAGCTCTCACCGCAGGGAACAAGATGCATATTTTTATTTATTTGTTGCCCTTCTCCTGGCCTCTCAATATTTTTGTGTATCAATAATTTAATTTTCTGCCCAGAAAACATTATATTTCTTGTAGTGTAATACAGTCATTCCAGTTTTGCTTGTCCATTCCGATTTTTTATTTTTTATTTTCTCATCAATACAGGCCATTTTATAAGCATACATAGCCTTCAATCGTGATTGAAGTGTATCCAATTGAAGGGGGCTGTCCACCAATCACAATTGGTGCTGCTAACTAATCAGCACCAATCCATCGCCTCCAAACCCATCCATGGATCACTTGAATTGTCCAATCCCTTCTCTCTACCTCACCATATCCTTTGAGAATTGAGGATATCTCTCAAGATTTCATCCGTGATCTTACCCTCTTGGTCTCGACTGTAATATCCTGGCTTTGACTCAAGTAAGCTCCTTGAATGTCTTTCTCATAATGATATCAATCCTCTGATTTCTAAATATCTTCCTTATCTTTCCAGCGGGTTCAATATCCTGGTCCGTTCATCAGATACCTTCAATTTCATCAAATCGATTCCTTATCTTATTGCTGATTCAAACTATGTATGTCCTTTGACTCAGCTGAACACCCGCTGATTGAAACGATTAACTTCTTTTGACTCCCTTCTGCTTGTCAACTCTAGCTCTAGTCGTCAGTTCGGGCATTTCTACTTTGGAGACCGACCAATTCACTGAATCAAACCCAGGGGCAATAATCAATCGTGTGTCGTTGATTTGTGTTGATACTGCTGATTCATAAGTATAACTTTTTGTTGCTAATCATCAGCACTGCTATTTAACATGATTGCTCAGAGCTTCACATCGATCTGTCTAGGTCTGTGAATCTCGTATTGTTTTTTCTTGCTATGTATATGTGTCTTATTTGTATATAGGGAGTTTGTACCTGTTATCCAAGTGCTCATTATCAATGATATGAACAATTTACCTTCATCGTTCCCAAATCCCTGGTCTTATAGTCAATTTAGTTTCTGGACTTTTTCCATTGCCTATGAGTACAATGTGTCTCATCAGATCCACATTTTGATCTCAGATTGAATTTGTACAGGAAGAGACTGCATTTCAAAGTGTTGTGTATTACAATGAAAAGCTGAGGCTAGAGTAAATACAAGAAGGATAAACACTAAGAAAATGGAATTAATCTGATGGAAAACATTCAAAGCTAAGGAAGAAATGTATAAGAACGGAACTCTTAAGTTGCCCAACAAACATCTAGAGAAATTGATGCTTACAAGCTGTATCCAAAGCCTAAAGGAAGGGTTCAAAAATGAGACCAAGATCCAAACTGAACAGAAGCTTGAGTGGATTGAACCAACATTAGGGTGATCGATTGATGCCTATAATTTGGCTTCTGTTTTGATATTGTGTGGGTAGCGATCAAGACCTAGATCAACACTTTTGATAGCAAACCATCCATCTTTTCTTCTTCACCATCCAGTTGAAAATTGATTGCCGAGTGTTTATTAAGAATAGAAGTAGCTGATAAAGGTGCTCTGAATAATCCACTCCAATCTGATGAACTTCCATGGATCATAAAATTGCAAGGTAGGTCAGCATTCTTTTCAAGCTACGTTTTGATTGAGGGAGTGAACTTTACAGGATCAAATCAAGTGTGCAGAGGGTTGAATCAAAGACGGGAAGGTTCAAATCGAAGCTGAGAGGTCTGGATCAAAGCAAAGAGACCAAAATCGAAGCCTCTTGGTCAAAACTCACATGAAGGTTCCTTGGCTGTGAGGATGGACGATGAGAGATGTGATCGAGCTGGAACAATGTGTGTGAGGATGAAAGGATGATGTCGAGGACAGGTTTGTGATAATCAAGCGCTGTGGACTGTGGTCAACTGTGGTTGTTCAGACTCACGACTCCTGATAAAGCACATAAGCATATGATGTTTATGCTTATAGAATCACCTGTATTGGTGTAATAAATAAATAAATAAAATCTGATTGGACAAGCAAAACTAGATTGACTGTATTTAATTTTACCCCGGGTATTTTTGTTTTTTTTCCACCGACTTATACAGTGTAAAAATATTGAGGGGAAAATTGTCAGATAGGGCTCCGAGTTAGAGGTTTGCACCGGGTTTGTTGACACCGGGTTCCCAGGTGGAAAACTGTACGGGGTAAAAGTACCACAGTACCCTTGTAATATATAATTTTACACCTCAATGGTTTCCACCAACAGTTTGACGCATTACTTCCACAAACATATCAATTCGTCAAGATTTTGATCATTTCAAACCATGATTCAACCCGATATCGGACGTAAATACCTGATATCGAAGCCTAAAATGACCAAATAATCATTCATCATTGCCCACAAGAGTGGAAGAAGGGTTATCATGATATCATTGACACGTAAAACCAGTCCCTTCTCTTTACCATTCCTCTTTTCATTTCCCTTTTCGTCTTTTTTCAAATTTCCTATGACATTATAACATCAAATCATCAAATTACCTATTTGCCATTATCACATCCTTGTCTCATTGATCAGAATGGGTCAAAACATATCACACGACGGAGCAGACAATGCTCTAACAGATCGATTTGATTCATTGTATAATTGCAAAGATCCTCCTTCCAGTTATCAAATCAACACTATTACAAGAAAACCTTTTGATTGTATTCCAAGAACACCGCGACAAATCAGATCACAACGTTACTCGATTTCACCTATCAAGTCTCCGGAATCTGATCTAGTCACAATGACTGATTCAGATGTTGAACAAAACTTGTATCATGATCCCTCACCCCCTTCTGATACAAAAAAGAAGGTCAAGAAACGTTGACATCAAGAACATCAAGAAAAATTATTGAATGAGAATGAACCTGACTCACCTCTTGAATCCGCAAACTCTAAGGCAAAAAAGCGCAATAAGAGGAAGCATCAACCGTCCCCGGATGAGCCATCAGAGTCACCTCCACCATCTCTTTCGAAAGAAAAAAGTAAGAAAAAAAAGAAGTCGAAATCCAATTCAACATCTGAACACAATCCTGTTAGCTCTAATCCTCAACAACCTGATAGCCACGAAGCTGTTAACCGCCCACACCTTCGGATTCCCTCCAAAAAACACCAATTTGAGACATTCATCGACTATGGCTGTGTTGTCGACGAGCAAAACTACCCGATTTACCCCAATGGAGACACGGTTTTCGTCTTGGAACCCAAAGCCAAGGTTACCAACTTTGGCTATGTTGCTTGGACACACACGATGAAAACGGATACTTCCAACGAAGACTGGAAGATATTGAGATTTACCTGTCTTGGAGTGATGAAGTGCTCAAACTCTTCTTGTCGATTTGCTGGGTCACCTCCGACTGGGTACAAGATGATTGAAAAACTTCTAAATCAGTAAGTTTTTCCTTATTTATTTCATTCTTCTTGTTTGTATAAAAGACTTACCACCACTCTAATATTCAAACAGAGGCACTGTGTGTCCCATTGACGACTGTGACGGCATCCAGGAACATGTTGAATGTAATGCTAAATGTCGATTTGACGAAGAGTACAACACCGGATGGAGTATACTGCGACACCAAGGCGAACACAAGCATATTTGGCCCAATGCGAAAAAGGCAGATCCTCTATCAAAGGCAAAATTGAAAGAAATCATCATCAATGACCCAACAACTGGTCCTTTGGGTTTAAAGGTACAAGATTTTTCTTATTTGGTATATTGAACAAGTGCTGACATTAATTCCACCATAGGTTGGACGTGCTCATGTAGGAACGGCTCCTATTCGAACAGTGGTGGATATACATCCATCCTTTGGACATATTGACCGCTTAGGCTATCTTCGGCGGTATTTCCTGGTACAAGAAGGCTTGATGACTGATTCTGCGGACCCAGACGGCGGTGATAGATGGCTCCATCAACTGATTTATTGGACCACGTACGTCAAGTTCAATCCTTTTCCTTTTGATTGATCTGTATAATAATCTCATGTTTCTCTTGCCATTACCATTTTTCCAATTTCAGCAATGGAATGCGCATAGTGTCCGCCTCTTTCAATATTGAAGACATTCATTTCTCTTTCCAGAGTAATTGGATGGCCGAGGTTCTTGTACTTGAAGACAACGGCAAATCTTATGAAGGCGGCCTTTTATCCGATGTTACTTACAGGTTCTTTAATCATGGCTACCTACTGACGACTTCAATGTACTGCGAAAAACTTGAACGATTTGTACCAGTCCTTCTATCGTGGATTAATGGCCTCTCTAAAGCTCATTACAAGGTTCATTTCAAAACATTATTAGTCCAGATCAGCACGACCTCAAAAAGTGATAAACAGAAGAGAAGATTATGCAAACAAGTAGTGGATTTCTCTCAAGCTCAAAAGGTTGGATTCATGGAGGCATATATGGAAGTATTTGACGTGGATAGAGACAAAGCTCTGTCAAAGTTGCATGGCTGCAAGCAGCATTTCAGCCAGGCCATCACTCGAATCAAGAACAATCGCAACATTGTCCGATTTGATCTGAAGGTAGGTTTTTTTTTTTTTTCACTATTTGTTTCAAAATGATTGATTTCATTTGCATTTTTAGGACATTTGGGTGGAAAAATGTATGGCTTTACTGGAACCCAACACTCCGGGAAACACTCTGGACGACAAGTTTGCCAAGTTGTACTTTACATTTCCTAACGCAAAGAGATGGCTTGATTGGTGGTGCATCGCCGATACCCAATCTATGTTGTTTCCTGGTCGCAAGAGAATGCCCTTGGATGATCCGCCTTTGAATGCCGACGAAAGCGAGGAGGACGAACCTGAACCTCAACGTCGAAAAGGATCAAACAACCGCCCGGAATTGCATTCAACTACAAACGGGCAAGAGTCAATGCATAGGGTGTACTACTTACTATGGTATGTAATTTGGCTATCTTGTTATGTTTTTAATTTTTATTTTGGGTGATGCAAAGTTTTACACCGGGTGTTTTACACCCATAATCTCGGTGTAAACACCAATTTACACCAACACTGTCGGTGTAAACTCCAATAGGTGTAAAAGTATAAATACACCCAGTGTATTTATACTTTTACACCTTAACACCCGATTCCTATTATTATAAATATTCATTTTTTTAAAATATTGATTTTTTTAAATATTTACTAACATTTAACATTTTTCTTTCAGTAAAGGGAAATGTGGTGTCATTCCAGGCTTGATACAGCTTCTAGCTTTCGTGCAAAGCTTGGAACGAGATTTCCATAACACCCGGATAGGTGTTTCGATTACTTATGGTTCGTCACAAAAAAATTGGGAGGAGCTGGTCAAAGGCTTAAAGATGAAGAAGCCGACCAAACGACGCTACCTTGAAAACGACGGCCGACCTCCGGATACTACCGATGAACTTCTTGGTAATATCAAGACCAAGAGCGCTAAAGGCCGCGCTAAACAAGTGGCTAAAGGCCCAGGCCGTCCGAGGGGCTCGCAAAACATCAATCGAGCCCCCTTGACAACTTATCAGTCGTATACTAAAGGTATACAACCTGGAACTAAGAACAGGTGTTGGCAAAGTGCCACACTGGAGTCTCTCTACGCGCTATTTGGACCTCTGTGGAGCCTCAATGCTTCAGTCAACGGCACCGGTCTAGTCCATCTACTTTATAATCACCTAACCAAGCGAAGCACAGCCCAACTTGAAGGGAAAAACCTTTCCAAGTCGCTTTCAGCACACCAGAACACGATTCACAAGGCGCTCACGAAACTGTCTCCCACATCTTACATACCGGATCAATTTGCATCGGCTGACCAGTTTATGGAGAAACTACTCCATCCTGGTCCCAACTCTCTTAGACCCTTCTTTGAAATTCCGATTGTCAAGACTTACTCCTGCCCTGTGAATGCCGGCCATACTTATTCAAAATCATCTTCAATAGCTTGTATCCAGATATTTCCATATAAATTTGTCGAAGCTGGACTGTCTTACGGCGATTTAGGACAATTGATTGATCAAATGACCACTGACGGTATCTCAACGGACAGTGGTCTGGTCTGTCGACGATGTCATCCAGAAACCAAAGAAGAAAAAGATGCATACATCAATGCCGACATAGTATTGCTATCACCTGCTTCAGAAGCCCGAAAAAAAAAGGACCTCACGACTCTCAATCTAAATCAGAAGATCAATCTGTCTGATGCTAAGGCAGCACCGTTGCATCTATATTTTCTTCTAGAAGGTGTTGGAGGAATGGAGGGTGAAGCACGCGCCGAATTCCAGGACAAGACCAATTGGCCACCACGTATTATGGTTGGAGATGTTGAATACTTTATGATGACACGTGGGTATTGGGCTGGTTTTCACTATTGGTTTAAGGTAGTGCGGTCTATAGAGGGAGTTTTGGGAGTATGGCATTATGATGAGGCTCAGAATGGTGGTTTTGCTCAACTTCTAGACTGTGATGTGGCTTCAATTGGCGGGTGTGACCGCCACACCAGCTGGACATGTTATTCACGTCTCCCATTTGAAGAAGAAAAATCACAAATAGGTGATGTGATACATGGTATGATGAAGAAGTTTTCCAAACTAAGTCATTTAATTCCTTTCTCGATGCCCTCGGACAGATTCCCTGTAGGAGGTGGTCTGCCACAAGATGAAGACAATGCCGAAGCAGCCGCTAATGAAGAACACAATAACAAACATGATGTAGATTTGAAAGTGGAAGCAGAAGAGGAAGTTGAAGAACTTAAGGAAGAATCACTCAAAGATCAGGAACTCGAAGACAAAGCAATCATTGAAGAATTGACGTCAAGCCCTGTTGTTCAGCCTCCTCCTCCTCAGCATTTCAAAATCAAGGTCAAACTGGCTGCACGAGAACCAGAGAAAAACCAAGATGGTGAAGGGCCTACCAGTACGGAAGATGTGGAGCCACGTAAGTCACTTACTCGAAATCATATCTTTGTCTTCTTACTGACAGCATTTCCTTCTGATTCAGTCAAAAGGACTCAACGTTTGAAGAAGGCTATTGTTGACAAAGAACATGTTAAACCTGTAAAATCCATCAGAAAAAAAGGTGGTAAAAAACGCTGATGTGTCCTTTCCTTTTCCAATTTTTATTTTTATTTTTTTGGATTGAGTCTTTCTTACTTTTGTATTTCTAGATTTAATTATTTCTCTACAGTCATTTCTGATATCATTTTATCTCCTGATTTATCTTCTTTATATTTATTCTCTACTGTCATTGCTGATTTTATTTTATCTCTGATTTTATTTTTTGCGTCTCCTTTCTGCTTTTGTGTCTTTTATTTCTTTCTCTTCTGTTGTGATTAGAGATGGTCATTTCCCTTTTCTGTTTTATGGTTATCCCTGTTTTTCCTTATTTTTTTTCCGTCCTCATTGTTATAAATGCTGTAATTAAAAGATGGTCATTTGGTGCGAAGGTTGTGTTGGCTGTATGGGGTCCTTTTTGGTTTCCCCGTAGTCAGTGTAAAAAACCACGACATACGGTGTAAAATTCGAATCTGGAGGGTTGATTTTCAATTTCTCCACTGGGTTCTTCACACCGTGCTTTTCGGTGTAAAGGCTCCACGGTGTAAAATTCTTACACCGTAAGAGAATGTTATATTTTTGCACCGTGTTAACTTACACTGTATTAGTCGGTGGAAAAGAAACAAATATACCCGGCGTAAAATTAAATATTGCGGCCGGGTTCACGACTTTTACACTGTCTCACTTACACCGCGATAAATTACACAGACTACACAAAATGCGAGTCAGTGTAAATTTATAAATACACCGGGAGTATGGGTGTAAACCACCCGGTGTAAAAATGTACCTCCCCGTACAAAAGCGGTTAGAATAAAAATTGACGGAGACAAACTGGTAGAAACATGCCCAAATGCAAACAATGAGCAGGGGAAACGACGTCAAGTAAGTAGAAGGGTGAGGCGGGAAGTCGGATATAAAAAGGGAGCTCGTATAGGGGGAAAGTGAATCCCCACACCCCATTAACAACTTCTGAACAAGTATGTTAACCCAAAAAAAATAACAATAACTCCTGAATGAATATAATTTAAGTTGAATACCTAGATTAATCCTAAAAGACCTATATCCAGGTGCTTTTATCAAATAAATCCTTTAAATTAAATTCAACAACTAAGAGACCAATATCCAGGTGCTCTACACGAAATTAACAACTTCTAAACAAGCATGTTAAGTTCCAACAATAACCACAAATCTTGAAGTGAATCAAACTTAAGATGAATACCTAAATGACTCCTAGAAGACCTATATCCAGGTGCTTCTATCAGATAAGACCTTTAAATTAAATCCACAAACTAAGAGACCAATATCCTGGTGCTCTACACGAAATTAATAACTCCTGAATAAGTATATTAAATTCAAAATAATGATAATAATAACTTGAATTGAATTAAATTAAGCTGAAAACCTAAATCAATCCTAGAAGACCAATATCCTGGTTCTTCTATCAAATTAAACCTTTGAATTAAGTTAATGAATAAGTGAATCAATAACCACGAAATTCTTGATGATAAAATGAGTAATAATCAACTAAGAATAATAATAAGAA